TAAAATTTAAATCTCCAGACAATTTAAAATATTTCATAATAAGAACATTTTCATTCTTGGTTTTTATTATGATTGAGATTTTAGCTCCTATGAAGGCAACAGCTGTAAATTATCTATAAATTCTTACTACATCAGGCATCATGAGTACATTCTATACAAGCCACAGTAAAGGGTAGCAGTGGTGATCCTGCTAGTCAGTACCTTGATATGACAACCTCCTCACAGACAAAAGTAGATCACGGTCCACAGGCATAGCGCATGCTCCCTTCTATAAAGTTCCAATCATATTAGCCAGGAATTGTTTAGACACCTAATGTTTCTCCTTCTAAGGGGAGAAAACAAGACAAGGTAGTCTAGCTGTAAATAAGCTAAACCTCTTCAGAAATCCTTCATGTATCAATATCTACCTGGTAAGTAATAAAAGGTAAAAAGGTTAAAAAGTCATTGCTCTTGAGTAACTGTCAATGGCATGGTTTCTTCTTTTCCTTCAATAATTAGGAAATTAACAGTACCACTAGAGTTCCTTAGAGCATTCATATCAACTACTCTCTGAACTTAAACTATCTGCTGTGATATAACAATCTAACCATACTGCCCCAGCGTGCACTCACCCGGCCTCAACAGTCAAGTCTGCCAGGATCATGTGCACATCTGATTTAGGGGACCATTAACCCACAGGAAGTGTTCATCTTTTTTTTCTTAATTAAGTTACTGTGATAAAATTAATGCTACCTCAATCATAATCAAATGATAAAATACCATAATGCAAAGTAGTTGATGAACCAGTACTCAGCAATCAGGCTGTGCTTACTGGCCCAAAGTCTGGTCAAGGGAGCAGGGTGGATGTTGAACTTGAATTAATTTCTACCCAAAAGCAGGGAGGGTCCCATCTTAAATCCTGGGCAAACTTAATCTGCTTTTGTCAGCTAACACCATAGCCTGCACTAGCTTTCCTTCTCTGGAACCTCTGGTTAAATGCTATGCTGTTGTGTAAAATATGGGTGTATATTTATATTCAATGTATTTTATATGTTCTACGTGAAGTGAAATTCCACAATTATGAATAAACAAAAAGTAAAACCAAAATATTTTTAAGAAACTGAAGCGTTTCGCTTTAAGCATTTTTAACATGTTCCCTTTTAGGCCAGCAGATGTAGCTGTGAATTAAAATAGGAAGTATAAGCACTTTCATCCAGCTGCTAGAGGTCAGCCATTAGATGGCACCCTTCTTTTTTTGGAACTGGGCTTATATCAAAGATTTAATAAAATTCAAGGTAGCTACCAACAATTATTTGACCTTGGAGTTGATTTTGATTTACCTGCACTTACCTAGAATAATTATCTCAACTATTTACTGAGTACATAGACTAGGACATTTCTGTTCAACATTTTCTGACTAAGACTGTTTTCCTTAGTCATAGAAAGATGTTATTTCCCAATAAGAGGCAGTACATAGTGATAAAAATTCATCATTGGATTCAGGGCAACCTCATAATTATCATCAAAACTCTCTTAAATGCAGAGCTGAAGTATATTGCTCTCCTCAAGCCTCAGAGCAGGGTCATATCATAAGAATTTGCTTTGAAAGTCAACAGGTCAAGATTTAGATGATACCAGTCTACTGAGAAGCCTTGTCTTAGACCAGTGCTTGGCACAGGGTAGGCCCACAAATGACTTTTGAGTGAACAAATCAACAAATTAATAAGCACTACTGCCTTTAAAAGATGTGCGCCTGAAAAGGTCTCAGTGGGTTCATTTTTCTATGAGACTTAGATGTGGAGATCAAACTGATACGCCTAATAACCTATGTACAGGGAGAAAGTGTATCTGCATTTCCTCTTTTTAGTTAGACATGAAGATGAATATAAAAGGATTCTATATATTCTTATATTCAGTAGTGCCAATCAGAAAATACTTTTTCCTCCCTAAGGTATTTTATTTAGGCAATAATCCTCTTGTTAGTGCCATAAAACAAAGATCATATTCTAGGAACTAAAATAGCACTGTCAAGCCCATAAAGCCCAAATTCTCAAGTATATCATTTAATTTAAATAACCTAATTTTGTTGGTCTGTGAAAATTTGGATTGATTCATTCTTGACTCTTCCAGAGACTACTCATATTTTCAAAAACCTTAAACTTTCAGTACTCATTTTATGACCTACATTACTAAACACTGGAAACAATACCTATCAATTCTATGCAGTCAGTATAAAGTGCTAAGACTGTCATTTTTACAGAAACTAGAAGCTTCATAACTTTATTACTAAGTATTTGCATGCCTCCCAAGTAGTTTCATATGTAGTCAAGGAAGTTTTATAAATTCCTAGGCAGTTATTCTTTATTTTCAGTACAAAATAATAAAATCTTGAACAGTTTTTAAGAAAGTAGTATTACTGGTAAAATAATACATATTTAAGAAACATGTGGGAAAGTAAAATAAAAAATTCACTCAAATGCCCACGATTCATTTACATATTTCTACCAGACATTTTTCCTCCCAGTTTATTTTGTTTTCAAATAACTGCTCACATATCCAGATATGAATCCTGCTTTTTAATTAATTACTATATCCTAAGCATTTTTCTACTAAAGATGATAGCTTCAAAGGTGGTCTTCTCTTTTATAGGAAAAGAACGGCCAGTGCTAAACTAGACTGACATTAATTATTAATGTTGGGAAATGAGGCCCACATTGAAGATATCCAGAAAACCTTGCCACGTTATCAAGAACTGTGTGAACTGGGTCACAACCAAAACCAAATTCATTACCTCCTTCCTCTCAGCCTGGCCCCTTCCACATACTCCTTTATTTCGCATTTTAGCAAAAGGAGGTAAAGTTGGAAAAAACCTAGGTTCTGAAGACTCAGACCTGGGTTCAAATCTTGACTCTGCCAATTACAAGCTATGTGATCTTAGGCAAGTGACTCAACCTCTTTGAGTCCTACTTTCCTCATTTATAAAATGGGGGATATAAGTATCTACTATATAGTTACTAGGAAGATTAAGTAATCTGCTACATGTAAAATGTCTGTTATAATGGCTGAAATGGAAGAAGAGATTTTATATGGGTCAAAGGCAGAATTGAGATAACAGCAAAAATCATCAAAAATCTTCAGTCACAGGTTTTCAGTCTTTTCCAAATACCATTTATTGATACAAATGATGACCAGCGAGCAAAGTTACTTTAAAAATAAGGTTAGTCAGACTAGGAGAAAAGTACCATCATTTGTTTATCAGTGTATTTTGAGTGAAAAGTACAATAATGCCTATGTTAGTTATTAAGCTAAATGTGAAACACTTAATAATGCCTATGAGGCTGCTCCAGCAATTCCCCCCACTTGCCTCAGTTCCTCCCTCTCTGATGAACTTCCAGCAGCACACACATGCTGTTAACTCTCCCAACTTAAACACACACACACACACACACACAAAAAAAACAACAAAAACAACTCTTGACCCTACTCCTACTTCTAGCTATGGCCCTATATCTTTCCTTCACTTTACAGCAAAACTCCCAAAAAAAACAACTCCTGACCCTACTCCTACTTCTAGCTATGGCCCTATATCTTTCCTTCACTTTACAGCAAAACTCAAGAAGTGTCTGTACATACTGAATCCGCTCCACTTAGACTTTACCCCACCATTTCACCAATGACCACCACAGTGTTAACCTCAGTGCATTAGCAGTCCTCATCTTACGTAACTTATCACCGGAATACAACTCAGTCAATTGCTTCTCCTGGAAATGTTTTCGTCACTTGATGTCCAAGTCACCGTTCTAGTTTTACCTACCTCTCTGGCAGGGAAATCTCTTTTGCTACTTTTTCCTTATTCCCCAACCTCTAAACCTTAGCAGTGCCCAAGAACTCCTTCCTCAGATGCTTCTCTTTTCTTACTACCCTCACTGCCATGGTGAGCTCATCTGATCTCATGGCTTTAAATAGGAGAGGTCTTCAAAAAGTTCACAGAAAGATTCATATTATCTTTCAATTCTATTTGTCCATGAATTCTTTGAAGTACCCTAGTACTACCCATATACTAATGAATCTCAAATTTATACCTTCACCTTATACCTCTCCCCTGAATTCTGAACTTCTGTATCTAACTGCTTACTTGACTTTCCACTTGGCTGTCTAACATACCTGAAACTCAAAAATGCTACACTGAGCTCCTGATATTATTCTCCAACACCTGACCTGTTCCTTTCATACTGGTCCCCATCTGTTTTCCAGTTGCTCAGGCCAAAAGTCTTAGAGACATCTTTGACTTCACTTTTTCTCTCACACTCCACATCCAATCTATAACAAATCCTTGTGGACTCTACCTCGGAAATGTATCCAGAACCTCTCTTCATCAACTCCACCACTGCTTCTTATTTCATTTACTAAAGCCCTTCTCTTGTTTAGAATAATTCCCACCTGTCATGAAAAGCCTGGTCCACAGAACTTTCTATCAGCTGTTTAAAAAAAAAAAAAGCCAATGTTTCTTAATGTATAGCTTTTTAACTTGGTGTATAAATTTTATATATATACACACACACACATACATACATACATACATGCATATACAAGCTTTTAAAATTTTTTCCAATAATGTGTAAACACATTTGTAATTTAAATAATTTTAAAATGCTTTAACTATTTTACAAGGACATTTATATATATGGATGTCAAACAGCGTAGAAAGTTGTTCCACATTACTAGTTTTATTGAACAAGTAGCTAACATCAATTTATATAGAATATCAGCTATAAATTTGTCATTTGCCATTACTGAATTACATTTGAAGTTTCATCACCTTTGAAAGTTTAAATTAGTTATTTATGATTTATTAGCAATGGGAAGTTGCCTAGTTATTTAATAAGAATTTCATCACATTCTCTGTCATCATTTCTTAAGGCAATGACTGGACTATATGTAAATTTGAAAACCAGGAAAATTTAGACCACAGAAAGTACAATAAACATCCAGATACCAATTACAAGACTGCAGTTACTTACACTGTGAACTCCTAAAGCTTTCCAGACTGCGAAGCTGATCACACCAACACCACACCATGCATAAAGTGAGCCCCAGCCCAGAGCTCGCAAGGCAAGGCAAGACCCACTCTCCGGTAAGGCAGCCGTGGCCATACTTCCCTGAAATGAAGATAGAAAGGTGTGAGTAAAAATAATCAGGTCAGAAAGATAAATACCCTGGGAGTGCTTGAAATTAATTACTCTCTGTGTAAGCAATACATTTGGAAGCCAGATTAACCCAAGGTCAAAAACCAGCTTTGCTGCTTAATAATTGCGTGATTTCTCTGACTGACAAATACTTAAGTATGCAAGGCACTGTGCCTGTTAATTCTTCCAGCAAATCCCTAGAACATTCTGTCAAGATTTCTCTATCCCCCATTCATTGGCATGTTCATCAGAATGACATTAAAATAATTAGCTAATCTGATAAGAGATAGCAATTTTATGACATCCTGTCTTCCATCTAGAAATAAATTTCCATTTACTAAAGTGCTCTTTTTTAGAATAATTTTTCTTATATTGCTCAAACTATTTCTTAATACCAGTTTTTCTTCTGCATCTACGGTATGTGACTGTGAATGCTGTCCAAGGCACACAGAAAGCCTCTGCTTTGCTTCTCTGCATCCCCACACCTAGCACCATGCTGAGAGCTAGCAGGTACTCAGGATTTGCTGACTTACATTTTTTGTAGATATACCTTAGACCCAATCAAATCATGGAAAGACTTCTTTAGACATTTTCCATGATAAAAACAATATCCTCTATCTTACCCCTTTTCCCATATTGCTATAATTTCAGAGTGGTTCCCTAGATACCACAGAGCTCACATAGATGCACTGACTTTTAATTGGCCTGAGTTTTCATCCATAAGCAGTAACATTACCAAATATTATTAAACCTGAGTCAGTTTAAATGCTTTGGCCTACTCGGGAGAGTGCGGTGCTGATAAATGCTTTGGCCTAAATTTTATTTTAAAGTCTACATAAACCCACATTTGTTTTACTAAATCAAATAAAAAAGATAATTATGTATAAAAATATTCACAATAAAATCTTATTTCTGCTTAACTAAGATGTTTTTAAAAAATAGGTACATGTCATATTTGTGTAATATCAGTCTCATATACTGTGAGATGAAATATTAGTTATTGTTTACATGCTTCCAAAAATGAATTTTAGTGGAAACGATGTTAAAAATTGATCTGCCTTATTAAGTAGTAAAAAGTCTAGTCATAAGCTTTATCTCAAGCTTTTTCCTCTGGGGGAGAATGTCACATGACATTCATACACCCTGTTGAAAATTTTCAAAATGAATGTTGGTTGATTTGCTGCAGGAAAAGACTGACTTGCTAAAAAATAATGTTGCTTTAAAAGATCCTTAGATACAGCTACACATGCCAGCCACATATATATATATATATACACACACACATATGTATATAAAAAGTAAAAGCTGTATTTTTTCTCACTGCCATGTTTTTTAAAAATTTCAGTTAAAATTAAGGCATCTGTATATGGAAGTTAAATTTAACAAATCACACTGCACACACACACATATGTATATAAAAAGTAAAAGCTGTATTTTTTCTCACTGCCATGTTTTTTTAAAATTTCAGTTAAAATTAAGGCATCTGTATATGGAAGTTAAATTTAACAAATCACACTGCAGTTATGCTACTTGGTATCTCCCAGATAAAACAAAAAATTATTTTCTATATCTCCTGTAAATTAAAAAACAAATAAATAAAAACAAAAAAATTTTTTAAAACTAAAAAAAATATAATACCTCTTGAGCCTGAAGACATGGGTGCCCCTTATCTTCTAATACTTACCAGGACCCTTTGAGAAAGAAGGTGACAAGAATTGATCCATTATTCACATATGTAGGAACTATTATGACCAAATTGTTCAGTTTGTCAGAAGGCTGACTGCATACTTACAAATAAGATTCATATTTTAAGCTTTTTTTGTTTAATCCTGGGATGAATTTTATGTAAATCAAATGGATTTTTAAAAAGAATGTTCTAGTTATTTCCCCTATATAGCATTCTTATCTTATATAATATTTTGATGTGTTTACATTACAGAAATAGCTAGCTGTGTTTTTATAATATATGAAATATATATTTTTAAAAGATTTATTTTTATAATTTCTTAGAAATGTGACTATATCAGAAAGATAAAGGACAACTTGCCCTTTTTATCTACTTATTACATAAATGGGTCTTGCATAACTCAGCTATTTGATAAATTTTTTGCTATGCCATAATATTAGATATGCAGGGACACCAAATTATTTTAGATAAGTAAACTTCATATGTGTGCATATATATATATTAATTCCATATTTTCTTCAATTGTTTTAACCAAGTAGACATATAATATGCACACTCTTTTCACCTCATTTAGTCTCAAAATTTTATGAGACTGATTTTATACAAATTTGAAATGTACCAGTTAAAAAAAAATCTTCACCTTTTTTAATAGATCAAAGAAGCTTAAGAGTAGATTATGAGTACGTGGCCACCCTAGCTTGCACCTTATTCTTTCTGCTTATTCAAGAAATTGCAAAGAAAAATGAATGTTCATTCAGCACTTAACCTACTGCTTTTCAACTTCCAGTTTTTTAGCATGAGACTCAGCTAAGATAATGAAAATAAGACAGTAAGGGGATGATTATCCTCCTGAAATAAACGCGGTATACAATCCCCATCTGAAAAATTGATCATTTTAATGTCCTTTTGGGTTGCAATTTGAATCTGTATTATATTCCCAAGCTAGTGGACAGAAGTCTATTTAAATAGCAAAACTGCTAAAAATAGTATCATTTATTCCCCAGAAGTAACCAAATATTGAGGGTACCATGTTGGGCAAATTGCTTAATCCATCCGGGCTTCAGCTTCCTGCTCTTTAATGGGGACAACACAGTAACAGTGCCTCACAGGGCTGTGATGGAGGTTAAATGAGTAAAGCCCTGAAAAGAGCAGCTAGCAAATGGTAAGCACTCAAATGTTAGATATTATTAATAATGTTAAAGAAGACCTCTAGGCAGTGACTTCGAAGTGCACTCCCTAAGTGATAGATTAAACTGGTCCTTGCTCAGTATAAACTCATTAACTGTGTGCTCTAAAACCTCTGAGTTCTTCTACAAACCGTTTTATCTCTAAAACGGTCTGTGTGTTAATGCTCTAATTCAAATGTTTTCCCAGAGGGAGGTAGAACCTTACATAACATATCTAGAACAGTGGTTCTCAAACTTTCCTGTTTCAGGATCCCTTTACACTTGGACTCCAAAGGTTTTCAATTATATGGGTTATATTTATCAATATTTAATGTACTAGAAATTAAAACTAAGAAATTCTTAAATTTTATTCACTAATTCATGTTAAAACAGTAGATCCATTATAGATTAATATAAACCTATCTTATGAAAAATAACTATTTTCCAAAACAAATTAGTGCAAAGAGAGGCAATGTTTTATTAATCTTTTAAATGTCTAGCTTAATAAAAAACAGCTGGATTTCCATATTTGCTTCTGTATTCAATCTGTTGCAAAATGTTTTCTCGGTTGAACTATATGAATAAGATCCGGCCTCATACAGATATGTCGTTGGAAAAGAGAGGAATATTTTAATAGTTTTCCTTCTCTGATAATATATGAAAACTCAGCAAGCAGCTTGTTTGTTTGTTTTTGGCAGCTGGCCAGTACAGGGGACCAAGCCCTTGACCGTGGTGTTACAA